TTCATCCTCACGGCTGCCCTGCCCCTGCGTTTTTGGGCGTGCTGGTCGACCAGGCCTCCTTGGAGGGGGGAGGAAAAAATGGGGAGGAGGGTGCCGGCCCTCGGGCCCCTTGGGAAAGGGGCCGCGTCCGCCGCCACACACCCCCACTTCCTCTTCCCAGCCCGGCGGGGTCGCAAGAGGAGGCGAAGGTCCCCGTGCCAGGCTCCAAAGGAAGGAACGGACGCTACCGCTGTTGGCTCCACAAGCGCGTTTCCCCCATTTCCCCCAACCCCCCCCCCCGCCCCCTTCTTTCCCTCCACCGCCGCGCTGCCACTTCAGCTGGCGGGCAGCCTTCTTCAGGGGAAGGAGAGAGGCCGGGAGCTAGACAAACCCTTGTGTTGAGGGCTGACTTTCTTCTCCTTCTTCTCTCTCTCTCTCTCTCTCTCTCTCTCTCTCTCTTTTTTACTTTTTGATTTTAAAATCTATATTTATGTTATTTCTTTCTTTAAATTTTGTTTTATTGTTTAAAATATTACAAAGAGAAGTACATATGTCTCCTTTTTTCCCCCTTGACCTTCCCCCAGCCAGCGAGAGAGCTGCTCTGCTACATACGAAACCCCAACCCAGAAGCAGGTCGTCTAGGAATGGTTTTGCACCAGGTTCCCCAAGAATGGCGAGGGGCTCTCCACACCAGACCTGTGTAATTGAGTCTTGATGGCTATTGTGCTTGTGCTGGGATCGACCCTCAGGCTGGCTGGCCGTGAGGCAAGCTGCTGGGCAGATGCTGACCAGACTAAGCGGCATTGGCCTCAGCAGGGTCTGTTGTCTGGGAGATCTCCCTTTGGATGTGCTGCTTGTGAGGCTAGTTGGGTCCTGCTCTGATGTCGAGTGAAGCTGGCCACTGGGGTTGGTTCTGGGCTTCTTGGGAGGGACTCTGGTGCAGGCCAAGGTCAGCCACTGCCTGTGAGAGTGGGGCGGCCCTTTTCCCGTGCCTGCCCTTCCTGCCAGTCTCCAAGCGGCTTCTGTAAATCCTTGGCTCTGTGACTCCTCCTCAGCTAGTGTTCAGGTGGTTATTCAAGGTGATTGCTCCTTCATTTAGTTGTAATTCCAGTTTGGTCCTGGGAGGAGGTGAGTGTAGTAGCTTCCACACACTCTGCCTCCACCTTGAAATCTGTATTTGCAGGTAACATTGGAGTTGCCAGGAGGCCCCATGCAAAGGACTGAAAAAAGAGAACCACAGCAGCGTAGTACACACCTGGTCAGCCACAGCCTTGTAGGGGTTCCGGGGCTCCTGGGGCCTGCAGGTCAGTCAGTGAGGCTAGAGGTGAGGAGGAGGAGAGAGAGGACTGCTGCTGTAGGGCCGCCCATGGCAGCTGCTGCCCATCATTCACTTAAAACACTCTCTCGCTTCTATTTTGTTCTAAGTTCACACATTGATTGTTGAGAAGTCTTGCTTTGATTTCAAAATGTAGGCATAGATCTCACTTATTTATGGAATATAACGAACAATATAAACTGATGAACAAAAACAGATCCAGAGACAGAGAAACATCGATCAGACTGTCAAACCTCAGAGGGAAGGTAGGGGAGGGTGCGGGTAAGGGGGAGAGATCAACCAAAGGACTTATATGCATCCATATAGGCCTAACCAATGGACACAGACAACAGGGGGGTGAGGGCATGAGTGGGCGGGATGGGGGGGGTAATGTGGGGGATAAGGACAACATATGTAATAACTTAATCAATCAATAAATTTTTTTAAAAAAAGTAGGCATATTGTTTATAGAACATGGTAACTCCCAGAGAGTCCCAGGAGCTGCCGGCTCCACTTCTGGTCTCCAGGCTGCTGTGGTGAGGAGGCCGCACCTCCCAGCTCCAGGCCCAAGCCAGGCGTGGGCTTTTGTTTGATGTATGTGCAATGACCAGGGGTTTTGCTGTGCTGTAGGAGGGGTGAGGGAGACATAGGTCTGCTTCCCCTTGGTCTAAAACTGGAAGTCTGAAACGCAATTGGTTTTTAGATATTAATGATGTATCCAGTGACATTGGATACATCCTTTTCAAATTAGAATAATAGATCTTTATACTATTTTAGATTTTGTGTGTGTGTGTATGTCTATGTGTGTCCATGTCTATATCTGTGTGTGTATGTTGGTGTGTGTGTGTCCATGTGTGCGTATGTATATGTCCGTGTATGTTTGTGTATATGTCCATGTGTGCCCATGTGTATGTCCATGTATATATGTGTGGATTTCATACATGCATGTGTATATGTGGGTGTATTTCATACATGCATAAGTATTCAGAAGCATTTAGCAGTGAAACTTTCTGAACTCTAAGGTCACTTTGCAGGAAAGTTTTAAAAAAAATATATTTTATTGATATTTTTGCAGAGAGGAAGGGAGAAGGATAGAGAGTTAGAAATATTGATGAGAGAGAAACATCGATCAGCTGCCTCCTGCACACCCCATACTAGGGATGTGCTCGCAACCAAGGTACATGCGCTTGACCAGAATCGAACCTGGGACCCTTCAGTCCGCAGGCCGACGCTCTATCCACTGAGCC